AAAAAAAAGCTTGCGGCAATCTCAAAAAATAGCCGGGTTTGGCGGCCATTTTTGGGTTACAAAGGGGACTCCTACTTCTTCTTCTTTTTTCAAAAAGGCTGGACGCTACACATGTTTTTTTTTTATTTGCCTTAAAAAGCGCCGTGAAAATCGGCATTATGTACCAGTATGCATAATAATGGTCAGTTTTTAAGAGCGCCCCAAAAATGTGTACCAGCCCCCCCCCCTCCGCTTTCTGATTTTACGGAGGCCAAATGTCCAAAAAATAAAAACCAAAACAATTTCTACATTTTGGCGCGGACATTAACAGCTGGATACGCTACTGTGTATTAGTTCACACTAAAATGCATTTTTCGAACATAAATTATAGGAAAACGTAACATTACGAGTACGAAGAAGTTCTCAATCACGGAGCGTAATGTGAAATGACGATGGCGATCGTTAGAAACCTTGTCTGATACAGATGTACTATGGGCCTTATTCACGAGTCGGCCATATTGAAAGTGAGATAAAATCTTAATTTTTGGAACTTGTGAAGAGAAATGAAAGTAACTTAGTTTCTAATTAGTTTCAGTCTGCTTCAATCAATAATGTTAAATTTGAAATTAAATATTCCCCAAGGTTTAAAGCCAGATTTTAAAAAACAATGACAGTAAAATAAGGCTAAGTTGTGCCTGCATAAATAGTCTGGCGCCATCCCATTCAACAGTTAACAATTAATGAAATGCATTCAGGGAACTCGACAAAAATAGCCAACCCGTGAATAAAGGTTCATTAACCGTGTACATAATGACAAATCGTGCATGCCTCGTGTTAAACCCGGACCCGAATTCACGGAGCTGTTCAGCAGGAGAAAAAAAAGGTTTCTCAGCAAATTTGGACGCTAAGCATGAATGAGCTGAGTACCAGTCCCAAGCAATTTGCATAAGTTGCAACAGGTTACCAGTGAACTTAGCAGCGTCACGAATTTGGGCTCTGGTTTAAAGCAAAATGACTTAGGTTTGGCATTTATTTCCTGAACCTTATTATTTTCGAGTATGGATTTATTGTGTTAAACGTCAGAAAAGTGTCACAGTTAAAAAGACACATTGAAAATAAAGTTGACTTTTAGGTTGAAGAAGTTTTTTGTTCATCCCTTGCTTAATGTCTTTGTACTGTGTCGGTTTATATTGATAGCAGATTACTGCAAGCCTGTAATCTCAATGTAAGGTTTCCATGAAACATAATTATTATGGCATTTACTACGAACTACGGCTCAAATTAACCATTTCGTTCAGCAAATCAACTTTATGCGACGCACCCGACATTCTCCAAGCCCAGCAGTGGGGAAAAAAACAAAACCGGCCGAAAGGTAGATGTGCATTTTTTTACTTTTTTTACTTTTTTTTCCATTTTTTTTTTGAAAACACACCTTCCGGGCCGGCCGCGCCACCAAAGTACATCATGAAAGTTGTATTTATGTGCAGTCTTCCAAGAGCATTCCCTATCACAGTTCTTTCGTTTTAAAAGAGTTCTGTTTATCGCTGATGCGTTATTTTTTTATAAATTCTTGTCGGCAGGCGCATCAGTTAAAACAAATTTAGCATGGAAAAACAAATGATGTGAGTATCCTTGCTTTGTAAAGAAAAAAATAAGGAGATTTGCAGGTATTATCAGCCACATTGCAGAAAGTCTCGACGACTGTTTATACAGCTTGTGAACTGTGACCCGCTTCGACTGCGGCTTGAATTGTTATGAACGTCACTTCCTGGACAATGCTATGAATATTGATTTGCACTGACACATCAATCCGTGCTTCAATGCAGTGCATTGTTAACGTTCGCTGTACGATAGGTTGAACAGGGTGATGTAAGAAACGCGGAACTCAAACCCCAAAAATTATATTTCATATTTAAAAAAAAAACCATGTAGCACCAAACACATTAATAACTGGATAGCCAATTTCAAAAGCTATTTTTAGATGAAAAAAACAATACTGAAATTGCTATATCTGTGTAAAGATATCATCATTTAAACGCAATGACCCTAAAACCTGTTTCGTCCAAAAAACACAAACGATTTATTGTGTATTCTTACTGTTTGGAACAACACAGATAAAGAATGCTTGTTTCAACAACTGTCAACAACCTTGGTTAGGCAAACAATATGATTTATAAAATCTACCTTTTTGAAAACAGGCTTTCCAAAGAACTTTGTTGAATGTTTTTAACTTTTAAATTGAGGTTTTTTCGCTAGTGATGTTTAAAGACAATTATTGTGACGACACATGGTGTATATTTTTTGAACGGTATGAGCAATTTCAGTATTTTTTTGTCAACTAAAAATAGCTTATGATATGGGCTTTTCGGTCATTGTTATTTTTGGTGCTACTTATTTTTTGTTAAATATGAAAACTAAGTTTTGGGGTTGGGGCTCCGCTTTTTTTCTTTTCTTTTTTGACTCACCCATATATTTGTAGGAGTAAAAACCAATGTCATGACGCATCAACCGCACACTGACTGCCGTAACTAGTTGAAATGTACGGCTATGAATTGCGCCAATATCCCGCTGTAAGATGTAAGTAGTCTGAGGAAAATGATGTCGTTGGTATTAACTATTATTCAAATTTGGTACTGATGCTCCCGAAAAAAAAAAAATATCAAAAATGAAGAGGAATAAAACGGTTTAAAGGGAAAATACAACATTTGCAAACATCAAACAATAAAACTACCAAATCATTTTGAAATACCTTGCTGGACTGCTAGTAAATGACAGTGTAAAGCATCCTGTTAAATCATGGCAACTGGTATACTGCTATTTTCAAGAAAAGTGGTATTTTTGTATCAATTTCCAACGCTGGTCGGCCGACCAGCGTTGGAAAAAAAAACTGGCTTTTTTTCAAATACTGGCCCCAATTGACCATCGCACTTGTTTGCAATCGATTACACACCTATGAACGGGTACAAGCCAGCTAGACTGGTTCCCTGACCTTACAATTCCCCAATGTACGTAAACTGCTCTGTTTCTTACAATTCCCCAATGTACGTAAACTGCTCTGTTTCTTCCTTTATGGAGTCAGGGAACCAGACTACAGGAAAATGATTGTTTTTCTTGGTTTTTATAGCATTTTCGAACCCAAAATCTCAAAAAAGTCAGTGTAACTATATTTGCTATATATTTCCAACCCCCCAATTCCATCCATTTCTGAAAATTACAGCAAAAGCAAATGATGTGTATTCCCTTTAACAGCAAATTAAATGAAATGCGCTGTGCTGAGGAACATCCTTAGAAAACTGTACATCAATGCAAATTGTCCGCATGACTTACCGGTCGACTGGGAGGTCGTGGGTTCAATAAATATCAAAAACTCCACGTATAATCCGCCAAGTTATGTTACTTCACCGTCCGGTTACGTGACACTGCGAACTTTACCCAGAAACAGGGTGAAAACTGCAACAACCCAAATTGTAGTCAAACAAGACCAAATTATGTATGACCACAAGTTTTGGTTCAATTTAGCAGAAATTTTAACCCAAACAATTGGTTATACGATGTGTATCAAAACAAATGCAAACAAACTATAACGGAATGCCAGACGTATAGTGTGTATTAACCAACATAAATAATATAAGTATGATTTGAAAGATACGCCTTTTCACTTTAAAATGAGACATCAAACGTCCAAACCTGATATTGTTTGACAGAGTTATGAGTGATTTTCCAAGAGGGGTCAAATTGACCACGGCACCACGTTTTCGATTCTAGGCATTGGGATGAAGGTAGCCTAATTGCTTCTGTGTGGATATTTGCCTGGCCTACAAAAAAAAATTGTATAGCGAGTAAACACAATTCTAAACACTTTCTTGCAATCAGTTTATAAACATGATAAAGGATTTTTAGCGCGAGGTGATAGAAAGAAAGTGTTCAGAATTGTGTTTACTCGCTAAACGCTATGTTGGTAACACATTCTATGTCTGGCATTCAGTCATATTTTGTTTGCATTTTTGATACACACTGTAGAACAACGCAATTTGGGTAGTTGCAGTTTTTACCCTTGCTTGGGTAAAATTAATCCAGGCAATAGTTTCTTAGTGTAGTCATGTGACACCGGCAAGTTACGTGACACCACCAAGTAGCCACACCAGTGTAACGCAACCGTTCGCACACCTACCTTTAAATAATTGTGAACATTGTGTATCAGTTGTCTTGCAGCTTTTAATCAATAGTATCACAATCATTGTACCTTTGACCTTCCAGAATTGAAAAATGCAGCATGCTCAACAACTGATTTTGTGTGACTTACACGGCTGCCCACCAATTTGAGTTTAATAATGAAATGCATGTACAATATAAGAGGTGTATAATTGGCGGCCCTCATTTTATACCAAACTGTCAGACCGAATAGAGTATTGCCTGCTTGCCTTATATCATAAACAGCAACAAGTAACGGAAGTCGTGCGTGGTATCAAAGGCAGGTTAAATCAAGCATAAGTTTGATGGGTGAAAGTAAAGACGGCGAAAATGGAAGCGTGCGGCCAATCTACCTAATGGTTCAATTCAGACCTAAAAAGCCATGGAATATCACGCGTCCCATGTTACGAGTTACCATCGACATATTATAAGCGTTGACCAAGGTCTACAAGCCTATTCTCTTCGTATAGCCTTACTGTGGAGAAGTAGTGGTTTTGATAGACACCCTGTCTGAAAACAGTTGGCAGTCTTACTTGCGAGTTTTGCTCAATTTTATTGGAGCCGTTTCGACGATCATACCAGTCGCACAGCAACAGTCCTCAAAACAAAATTGGAATAAGAATTGATACCTTTAATCTAACCGTGTTAAACTTCGTCTCTAAATTAGTTATTTGTTGAACTCGCATAATATACTCTATTATTGTATCCACCCATCAGTGTTTAATCTCTGAACATCCAAAACTGGACGACTTATCATAAAAAATATGGAAACACAAAGCAATGTTTTTCCAATATTTCACATTGTCTTTGTCATATCGTTGGGAGCGTTAATGGCTGCCTCCAGATGTAAACATTCATGTGATGCCGGCCTAGACGCGTGCACGTTTTACGCGGCAGAAAACCGCGCTCTTAGAGGCTTTACATACCTGAACAAAACTGCGCGATCTGCCATCATCTGCGGACGGGAATGCAGCATGGATATGCACTGTATGTCTTTTAACTTTGACGAAGGCACTAAACTTTGTGAGATAAACCAGGCTACAAGGAATGAGCATCCAGGAAACTTCAGTGCAACTCTGGGGAGTTTGTACTATGATGCAGATGAGGACACACCTATCTACTCACTGAGTGATTGCTCCTTGAATCGCTACAGAAGTTGCAAGATGCTCTTAGATGCCGGGTGTCGTTTAAGCGGTGTCTACACTATCAACCCAGAGGGATTCGGTAATGGCGGTCTTCGCGTCTACTGTGACATGGAAACCGACGGCGGGGGATGGATCGTGTTCCAGAGGCGACAAGATGGCAGCGTGGACTTCTACCGTAACTGGGCCGCCTACCAGTCTGGCTTTGGCGATCTGTCCGGGGAGTTCTGGTTGGGCAACGACAACTTGGTGACTCTGACGTCTGATGATTCACAAGGAACATGGGAGCTACGAGTGGATCTGATGGACTGGGATAACGAGACAGCATGGGCAAGGTACACAGATTTCAAACTCTCCTTGGGTAAGTATAATCTGAGCTACGATAAGTACGATACCAAGAGCACTGCAGGTGACTCTCTGGAGTACAGCAAGGGGTTCCCCTTCACAGCTTTGGGCGCGGATAATGACAACTGGCCATGGAATTGCGCGCATTATCACAAAGGAGCCTGGTGGTTCAATTCTTGTATGAGGTCCCACCTTAACGGTAAATATTATCCCAGTCAGCATGCCGATGATGACTGGGGTATTAATTGGCACACTGCATTGGGACATATCCATCCTTATTCCCTGAAAACATGTAGCATGAAAATACGGGAAGCGGGCGTGAATTAATCTATTGTGTCTCTCCCCCCCCCCTCCCCCATTTTTTAACAAAAATAAAGGAGGCTTTTGAAAGACAATTAACAATGATATATTTCAAACAGGATCAAATTCACTGTGAAAACACAACAGTAAGATTCGATTCCAGAACACGGCCAGACTTTTACCCAGCTGACTGCAGTTAAGAACAGGTGGGTGCAATTTTGACTTGCTACGGCATGTCCCCCTAAAAGTGTCCGTGAGCCTGTTAATAAAAAAACTACAAAACCATCAGGTGAATTTTGAAATTGTTGGTTATGCAGAAACTCCTAAGCCCTGGCCTCAAACCTCATGAGTTTCATTTAATTGCAGTCTCGCATTACTGCGCAATTGTCAATTGATCACAATAACATTTTTGGACACCATGACCAAGTTCCCTGCCTTAATCAATTTTAGTGCTGTTTTATGTAAGCTGTATAAAATCCTGGATGTTGTAAAAAAAAAAGGCTGATGTGGTCTGGGATTGGAATGATTTACACTTGAGCATTAAACTGAGGTCTTGCCATGATGACTGATAGCCAGGCAAAATTTGATTCCAATCCCGACTGCAGCTCTTTTCACAACGTGAGGATTTTACACAGCTTAGGCAAGGAACTTGGTCACGGTGTCCAAATATGTTGTTGTGATCAATTGATAATGGTGTAGTGGTGCGTGACTGAAATTAAATAAGACTAATAGGGGTTGAGGCCAAGGCTTTGGAGTATCTGCATAACCAACAATTTTCAAAATTGACTTCATGGTTTTGTAGTACATTTTTTGGGGTACATACTGTAGGTTGTTTTCATAGTTTACAATTTCAAAGTACAACTGAGAATTCATAGGCCTAATAATTATTGTCAAAAATTATCATCAATCTTACAAAGTTAACATTAGCAATTAAGATAAGTAAATACAAATCTCACAGTATAGATTTGTTTTCAGCAAAAAGATATTTTGTGTCTAAATGTGTAATTAAATAATGTGATTAGATAAAAATGTGTATAAATCTATCGACGATTAGATATCTATTTTTCAACATTTTAGTTGGAATTATCCACGCATAATGCCAGTGTAGTTAGGTACATTGTATTCGATTATTTTAACATTGACTATTCGAAATTTCGAAATGCATTGATCAAGTTTTACATGGGCCCGCTAGCTTTATTAATGGCCGCCATTCGGGTTTTGCATGCGCCTGCGCTTGTCGAAATTATAATATGATTTTCGAGTTGTGGATAGGATGATAGTTGACATATTTTAAGGAAGAAATTACTCCCCACAGAAGATCTCTAATCATGCATGTAAAGTGGATTCCGACAAAAGTGGAGCATATCGACAACAAACCACGCAACTTCTACAATTTAAGTAAGTGATATCGTGGACGTTTTTCATCACCTCCTCAAGACCACGCACAATTTTCGAATATTTATATAAAAACAATTCTCTTCGGATATTCGATGGCTGATCGAGTATTCGAATATTCGGTATATGCGGCACAGCCCTAATATCGGACAGCTTCGTGCCTCTGCTTCGATTCAACATTTATTTGTAAATATGAGCTTTGTAATGATTCGCAATCGGTCGACCTTTATTGATTTGGCATTGTGATCTTGAATTTCGAATCATTATTTCAAAAGAGTAACTGTGTATTCTGACACTCACTGAAATTTGAGACCAGACAATTTGGAGTAAAAATCAATAATCAAAATAATGTAGGAATAAAATCTTAATTCGGAAAATACACTACTTATTAGTGGGAACTCGATCGCTTCGGTTGAATAAATTTCACTTTTAATCTTCTTTCCCTCTTTTCTGTGGAATTTTAGTGAAATGTTTCTTGTTGGGGATAAGGGTCGCAATAAACAATACTTATCGCTTTGTATCCATAATATTTATCGCGTAATGCACTGCACTGCACTGCACGATAAAACCTTGAAAGGTTATAAAGAAAAAGAAATATTCTCATTTCTTTTGGATAATAATGTTAAGTCCACTTTGATCAAACTGTGAAAATTTGCGAACGTTTTAATGTGGGTAAATTGAGATAGATACATGGCTATGTCTAAACTAGGAGGCTGTATAAAAAAAATGAATTGTGGTGTGAAATTTCAAAATTCTCCGATTTAGTATTTCACATCGAATGAACAAAATATGAGTGAACTGGATTTCACCGTATAGTACTTAGAGATAAAGGTGCGAAATTTTGTTTGTTTCATTTTAAACTTACGCACGTGTTTGTTGGGACATCTTACTCCCCTTTTTACACCAATTGTAACGGTTCACTTTCTAATTTTGCACACACGGGAAGACGTAAAACTAGGCACGAGAAAGTATCCTTTACGAGAAAGTATCCTTCATATAATGTGAAATGAAAACGATGATCGTTATACCAAACTTGTCTGTTATCTAATATACTGTAGAGTATTATTATTAAACCTGCATAATTATAGGCATGTAATGCATGCCTCGTATTACCCGGACCCGACTTCACAGACCTATTTTCAGAAAATGTTACTCGGCACATTTGGTGAACTAACCGCTAAGTATGAATGAGCTGAATACCAGTCCCAAGCAATTTACATTGCATGACCCTATTGGAATTAATTGCTAAGTAGAACAGGTTACCAGTTGTGTCTAGCAAGAAAATAATATCTGTGCTTACCAAAGCAGCGCCATGGCACTGGCCCCTGGTTATATGCAAATGAGTTTAGGTCTTGGCTTTTGTTTCTTGATGTGGAGATCAAAACCCCACTATTTTCTATAGTATGGATTTAGTGACAGTGTCAAACTTATTACTTTTTTTTCTAAATATTTAGAAAATTGTGACAGTATAATGTTTAAAACACACTTTTGAATAAAGATAACTTGCAGGTTGAAATACACTTTGTATTCATCCCTTGCCTTATTTTTAGTTAATTTTGTCGGTTTATATAATAGGAAATTCTGATAATACTGCAGGATTGTAATCTCAAGTTAGGTTTTCCGACTAAATTGAGACATTGGCGGTTCAAATTTACAATTTCTAATATCCTAATTCATCCAGCAAATCAACTTTTACGCGACACTCCTTCTTTTCTCCGATCTCAGAAGTATACAAAAACATGAACCGGCCGAAAGGTAGGTGTGCGAATTTTTGCTGAGTACAGAAGATTGTGATTGCGATTTAGATTTTTATTGAACACACACCTTCCGGGCCGGCCAACAAACCTTCATATGGAAGTTGTATTTATGTGCAGTCTTTCTAGAGCATTCCCTATCACAGTTTCTTTCGCTTTAAAAGACTTCCGTAGATCACTGGCGTGTACGTGTTTATTATTTCTTTTCGGCAGGCGCATCGGTTGAAAAATGTTCACATGGAAAACAAACGATGTGATTATGCTTACCGTGTGAAGAACAAAAGATGGAGATTTGCGTTTCATCGGCCACAGTTGCAGCTACACAACTCTCAACAGCCATGCATACATGCTCGTGAACTGTGACCCGACGGTCGCTTGTATTGTGATGAATATCATTTCCTCGACATTGAATATTGATATGACACACTTCAATTCATGCTTCAATGCAGTGCATAGGCACGAACTTTGCAAGCATTGACGTATACATAAAGGCTTGCATATGCATGTGTACTAGCACATATGCTTGTGTACCACTACATGTACATGCACACCCATACATGCGTATAAGTACATAATGTGTGTACACGTACATATGTATATGCAGTCCAATACATAGTCTTATAGACTATTAATTAACAATTACATGTACACTAACCAATACAATGCATTTGCACATTATATACATTCTACATGTTCGTTCACATCCAAGGTCTCCTTATAAAGCTGATGAGTTATATATTTACTAGGGTTGACTTGAGCAGATCGTAGGTACATAGTCAATCAATTTTAGATTTTTTTTTGTAAATATGATCGAGTCCTTCAAGTTTCTTCACACCATTTGAAACCCCTGAAAAAAATGCTTGTTCTTCTATTTCACTTTCAGTGTTCACCTAATGACCACCACCAATTTCAGAAAGTCTCATCTATACACTGATTTAGGGCTATATGCATCCGTATCAAAATTTACACTAGTGCGCATGTTTAGGTTTTCAGAAGTGAGAGGCCTTTTTTTCTGACACGACATGATTATTTTTCTTACATGTCAGTTGATTATCAGTTTCTTTAAATTGATAGGCTTACAATTAGCCTTTTCGAGGGTGAATTTCTAAAGATACAAATTGCACCCTTTTGAAATTTTGTTCACTCGTTGTTTGATGTAGGCTGAATTTATACTTGAAGGGGTCAGTGAACCGATTTCATGGCACGTGACCTTGTTGCGGAAACCACCGTTCATTCACAAAATATACAAACGATCCGCCTCGTTGCGTGGCGAAGTTCAAGTGCGTAATGCACCAGGACTCAGTATTTTTGGCTATAAATTTCGCCCAATTTCCTGCTGTCAGATGTTAGTAGCCTGACAAAAATCACGTCGTTGATGTTAACCGTGTTAACTTTTGAAGGATGCTTCTGACTAGAAATAATTATCAAAAATAAAGCCCAAATAATGGTTTAACAGCAATTAAGATGAAACGCACTTATCCTTAGAAAACTGTACATAAATTCAACTTAGGCTGGCCCGGAGGGTACCCAATAAAAATAAAAATGACAAATCGCTATAGCTATGGGACGTCTCGTTGTTTGACGGACACAGTCAAGACAAGCGTTGGGACGAAAGACGCAGTGCAAGCAGTCGAAGTTACAATACAATGTTACGCGACACGAGTATCCGCAACACCCATCTCAGACAGTGTATATACCGAGTGGCTCATTGAGGATTTTGCGTTGAAGGTGCTGGTTGATGGGTGGTGCAGTGAAAAGCGGGTAACCGGTTCATTGTGGATAACCGGTTCATTGAGGATTTTGCTTTAATAGGTGTTGGTGCTGCAGTGAACATAGGGATGGTGATGCGTCAACACGTTCATTACCAAATGGCTTAAA